TGCTGACTTCTGTGCTGACTTCTGAAACAATCTTCTGCTTCCGAATCATGAGCCTCTTTGGTGGTGGTGGTGGGTGGGGAGGGAGGATATCCAGGGGGTGGAAGACTGTGAGTCAACTTTGTTTGAGACGGAGCTTTGATTGCTAACCCTTGAGGTTCCTTGTGGGTTACATCTACATTAGAACACTAGCCCGTGGACACAGCTGCTGTCCTCGCCGAGCCCATCTTTGCTCTGGGTAATCATCTTGCGGGAAATGTGATTCTATCTTGGCAATGCCAGACTGTCAGACATATCTTGGTCACTATCATCTTGTAGCTGGTAATGTTCTGAGAGGGCTAAAGTAAGGTGACCAGACATCCCACTTTCGGCGGGACAGTCCCGATTTTTAACAATTTTTCCTGCATCCTGCAGCATTTTTAAAAAGTCCCTATTTTTGGAAAGTCTGCACAACAAGCTAGGGTATACGGTTTTCGGCTGCCATGTGGCTATTTCGCCAGGATATGAGTTTTATCAATGGTGTCCTGCTTCACCGATGTTAAAATCTGGTCACCGTAGACTAAAGGTCTCTCTGTAACAACAGGCTCCTTACATTTCATACAGTGTGGACACTGAAAGATCGCCCGACCTACCTTATGTGTATGTGAACTCATCGGGGACCATTAAGAACTATAAGCCTATCCAGGTGGTGTCTGCCTGCAGTCTAGAGATGTATGCTTTCCCATTCGATATCCAGAATTGCAGCCTAACCCTCAATAGCATTCTTCACACAGGTAAACCAGAGCGACGCAGGCTACGAATCGGAAAACACACCCGTGGAGGGTTGGTGCATGTGGGTGGAATACTGTCATCCATCAGGGCTAGTTTATTCTTCCCATGATGGAATTTTCAGAACAAATTCTACCCCTCTTTTTGCAGTTATTCACTTTCTGCCATAAAGCAGGCCAAGGAGAATGTGGTGTGCGGACAGACATACAGCCATTACTCGTGCTCCTTTGGAAGCACATTAGACTTCCAGGCCATGGAGACCAGTGCCATCATTGGATGGGTAGACGAATCCAAACTCTAAATTCAGAATTGGATTCTCCCTCCTACTCCCCCACCCCATGGCTAGAAAGATTTTCATCCTGGCCAGCCTCAACCTCTATTCAAATCATTACTGTCGAACCCAATCCCATGAGACTGCGTGTGGGCCCAGAGGCAAAGGAGAGGAAATTGAGTTGATGTTGGAACCTCTTTTGCTACCTAAAGCTCTCTTGTCTCTGTTGCTTCTAGTGGAAGATGTCAACCTGGCCTTCCTGAGGAGCAGGGAAGACATGAAGCATGACAAAAAGGCGTTTCTGAATGACGGCGAGTGGGAACTTCTCTCTGTGCCCTCCGAATACCACACCCTGCGGAGCAGCTCGGGAGATTTTGCCCAGATTCAGTTTAACGTAGGTTCTTCCCCTTCCC